AGATCTTATGAGAAGAGTGGTGAAAGGTGTATGACTCAAAAGCAATTCATTGATCATGATCATTTATAATTTTATGGTCCAACAAATTTGGTAAGAGGCCTCTATCATCAATTATACACTGTGGTGGAATACACAGAAGCATATTTATACGAATGGAAGAATCACATTTAGTCTTTGTGCGCTGGATTAGTTTAATTACTTGGATTAAGGTGGACTTTACTTTTCGAATGTATATATGGATATGGACTTTATATATAACCTGTGTGATATGTGAAGTTTGGTTATTTAGCACTGCTTATTTTTTCTTTTTTGCGCTTGTTAATTGGTATCACAATTTTATAGTAGCTGCTGTTATACGTTTTTGACTGAGTGCGGATGTTTTTGGGATATTTTACCAATAAACTATTGGTTCCAGATTATTCCAGATAAACATTAGCAGTCTGTTTTGTGTAAAAGTATTCTTGATCCCATTCTATTGATGTAATCCATATATAGTTGCATGTGTGAAGGGTTGCTGTGATATGGTGGTAAGGAATGGCTAAGATCTTTTTTAATAAATCTGCTAGATATAATCTGAACAGTGCTGGTAGATGGTAGAGGTATGCCCAGAGCTTGTCTTTGAATTGAATATAGAAAAAAATATTTCACAATTTAAATTAAATATTTCTAACAAACTATTGTGTTTACCTTTTTTTATTTTGATAGCCCTTATTGAGGTTACAAAGATTTGTCATAGTGGAGCTGTTTGGCTGTCATGCTCTCAAAGTAAATCCAAATCTTCCGTGTCCCATCATCTTCATCTTAAATCTTTCAGTCATGCAATATAAATCATCTTCTTCTTAAATATCCAATATACTGTAAGTGTACTGATATAGCATCATATGTAAAGTGAAACAAAAAACAAGAAGCGCACCAACCTTGCGCATTACCTCAGTAACAGAATTTATTAATAAAAGATAGGTACTCACAAACAGCAAATAAAATCAGGCATGTAGTCCTCAAAGGGACTTCAAAGATAAGAAGCCAGCGCGAATCCCATCATGGGGGTAGACACTCAGTATGGCTGACGCGTTTTGAAGGCTATGCCTTCTTCCTCAATAGCCTTCGAAACGCGTCAGCCATACTGAGTGTCTACCCCCATGATGGGATTCGCGCTGGCTTCTTATCTTTGAAGACCCTTTGAGGACTACATGCCTGATTTTATTTGCTGTTTGTGAGTACCTATCTTTTATTAATAAATTCTGTTACTGAGGTAATGCGCAAGGTTGGTGTGCTTCTTGTTTTTTTGTTTCACTTTGCAGTATCGATCGGGCTTCCCCAGCCCTGTTTTGGAGCTGCACAACCTTGAAATATACTGGTGTTGCTTGCTCTGGTGTTGGTTCCATCTATTTGCCACCGGTCTCGGCCCTAGAGCGCAGGAGAAATCGCAGCTGGTCTATAGCATCATATGTACCATGGGACTGCCATGAGGATGGGTGGCACATGTAGACCATTACCACCAGGCTGCATTATCTAGGCTACAGTAGCATTTGGGAAGTCATTTATGATGGAATTAATGTACTGTACATATGTTTTTTTTCTACATATTGGGTGTTATTTACTAAAAACTGAAATATGGTACAGCTCTGCATAGAAACCAATCAGATTCCAGGTTTTATTGCCAAAGCTTCATTGAACAAGCTGAAGATAAAAGCTGATTGGATACCATGCACAGCTGCACCAGATTTTGCACTCTCCAATTTTAGTATATCAACTCCACAGTATTCACTTTGTACATATTCATTTCTATGTATTTTGAACAAAAAAAATCACTTTTGTTGTGCCTTCTATAAAATCACAAAACACTGACCTCAATTCGCCTTAGGCACATCACCAATTTTCAGATGACTCTGTAGCTCTATTTATTGATATACACCAGATTTAGTAAATCCACTCCATAGTGTGTGATGCAAGCGCGTTGCAGTGTCAGTTACTAACTTCTGTTTTAGAATGACACGTCTCTTTAGTGAGATTAAAGTCATGGTCTAATAACATCATATGGCATTGCACCTCTTCTCTGTTCATATAGGTAATGTTACATATAAAATCATCTAAGCAGCCACACAAAGCTTTCCTTCTATGTTTCATTTTGGAAAGTGAGCTCAGCATTTATCTGTCAGGGCTTTTATCATTCCCTCTTTTCATTAACATTGCAATTTTCTGCATATTTCAGCTTTGTGTACAGAAGTAACCAATTTTTCTTTCGTTACTTAATTTTGTTTGAACTGAGACTAGGCTGTTTCCTTGGCTGATCCTTGTGCTGTGTAAGGTCATGGTCACATTTTCTGCCAGTTTCCTCCTTCTTACAAATTTATTTTACCTTGCTCATGAAGTAAATAGGTTTTACAAAATATATGTTGTTAGGTATCTAAATATACACATACAATAGTTGATTTAGTAAAACTGGAGAGTGCACAATCTAGTGCAGCTCTGCATAGAAACCACTCAGTTTCTATTTTTTTTTGTAAAAGCTTAATTGAACAAGCTGAAGTTAGAAGCTGATTGGCTACCATGCACAGCTGCACCAGATTTTTCTAATTTTACTATATCAACCCCACAGTATTCATGTTACATGTTCATTTTATTTATTTATTTAAGGTACTTAGTAGTGACCTTTCATAATGCACTGCCTAATTATTTTATTTATTACAGGTTCTTATCTAGCTCTGTCAATTTACACAGCGCTTTATTGTACATCCACATCAGTCCCTAACCCTCAAAGGGCATACAATCTAAGGCCCCAACTTAGATACACATATTAGGGCCAATTTAGACAGGATCCGATTAACCTACAGCATGTCTTTGAAGTGTAGGAGGAAACTGGAGTACCCGGTGGAAACCCACACAGGCACAGGGAGAACATGCAAACTCCAGGCAGGTGGTGCCGTGGTTGGGATTCGAACCAGCAACCCTAGTACTGCCAGGCGGAAGTGCTAACCATTTAGCCACTGTACTGCCCTGTCTATTCTTTTGAATAGCATGCACTATTGCAATTTCTATGTATTTTGAACCAAAAAAAAATCACTTTTGTTGTGCCTTCTATAAAATCACAAAACATTGATCTCAGTTAGCCTTAGGCACATCAGTAATTTTCAGATGACTCTGTAGCTCTGTTTATTTATATAATTAATTTATATTTATTCTTTGTATTCTTCTTTCTATGCTTTAAGCTCCTGTGTTCACTATGTAATACCCAAAAATGCTTTCCATCCTGCCATCTCTCCCATCATGCTTCCAGTCACCTTGCTTCATGTCCCTGAGGGCCAAGTAGAAAAAACTGTGATCACAACATTTTAATCCACACTTCAGCCGTTATAATCCATTTATTGGGGACCATTAACCACAAGGCCTTCATTAGCAGGGTCATTCTGCTGTCTGCTGACATTCCCAGCTGCATATGTTAGGAGTAAAATTAGAGGGACACACAAGTCAAAATGTTTTTATAATTTCTATGTAATGCCTTAAACCAGAAAACAACCTGTTATATCAGATTATTTTGTTTTCTACATATGGAAACGTGGTACACATTAATTTAATTTCAATAACTTATTTGTAGATGTTCCCTAGGATATCAAGTTTTCAGAGTGTAACACTAGAAATGTGTTAGATAGTTTTATTCAATGTTAGCATTATTTTCATATATTTGTTATCTTAAAGATCTTTTGATATTTAAAATGGAGCTCCACCCAAAAGGGTGAGGTTCTGCTTTAAGGACTCGTCCCCTGCTGCCCATGAGAAATTGGCACCATTTGGGGAGCGGGGGGGAAGCGGAGCCAGTACCCAATTTTGACTGGTACCCGCTATGATCGTCTAGGTCAGTGGTGGCGAACCCGTGGCACGCGTGCCACAGCCGGCACGCCGAGCCTTATCTGTGGGCACGCCAGGAGAATCCAGCGGCGCGCTGTCTTCCCGGCTGTAGTGTGCGTGACAGCCGGGTCCCAAGTGCGCATGCACAAGAAGCAGTGCTCCTTGTGAATGGTAAGGCGGTACCTGGGACACATGACAGATCCCAGAAGCCGCCGGACCAATCACAAAGCGCAGGGCTTCTCGCGCATGCGCACTGGGCATCCGGCTGTCCGACGAGCGCCCACACTACAGAAGCCGGGAAGACAGCGCGCGGCTGGATCGAGGAACAGGTAAGATAAAAAAAAAAAAAAACTCTGCGGAAGTAAGAGCGGGTACCTGTCAAATTCAGGTACCCGCTCCCCCTCCCTCCCCAAAGGTCAGCAGTCATCCCTGTGCTGTCCGCAGTCTCTGGTCATCCCTGTGCTGTGTCCCCAGTCTCTGGTCATCCCTGTGCTGTGTCCCCAGTCTCTGGTCATCCCTGTGCTGTGTCCCCAGTCTCTGGTCATCCCTGTGCTGTGTCCCCAGTCTCTGGTCATCCCTGTGCTGTGTCCCCAGTCTCTGGTCATCCCTGTGCTGTGTCCCCAGTCTCTGGTCATCCCTGTGCTGTGTCCCCAGTCTCTGGTCATCCCTGTGCTGTGTCCCCAGTCTCTGGTCATCCCTGTGCTGTGTCCCCAGTCTCTGGTCATCCCTGTGCTGTGTCCCCAGTCTCTGGTCATCCCTGTGCTGTGTCCCCAGTCTCTGGTCATCCCTGTGCTGTGTCCCCAGTCTCTGGTCATCCCTGTGCTGTGTCCCCAGTCTCTGGTCATCCCCTGTGCTGTGTCCCCAGTCTCTGGTCATCCCTGTGCTGTGTCCCCAGTCTCTGGTCATCCCTGTGCTGTGTCCCCAGTCTCTGGTCATCTCCTGTGCTGTGTCCCCAGTCTCTGGTCATCCCTGTGCTGTGTCCCCAGTCTCTGGTCATCCCTGTGCTGTGTCCGCAGTCTCTGGTCATCCCTGTGCTGTGTCCCAGTCTCTGGTCATCCCTGTGCTGTGTCCCAGTCTCTGGTCATCCCTGTACTGTGTCCGCAGTCTCTGGTCATCCCTGTACTGTGTCCCAGTCTCTGGTCATCCCTGTACTGTGTCCCCAGTCTCTGGTCATCTCCTGTACTGTGTCCGCAGTCTCTGGTCATCCCTGTACTGTGTCCGCAGTCTCTGGTCATCCCTGTACTGTGTCCCCAGTCTCTGGTCATCTCCTGTACTGTGTCCGCAGTCTCTGGTCATCCCTGTACTGTGTCCGCAGTCTCTGGTCATCCCTGTACTGTGTCCGCAGTCTCTGATCATCCCTGTACTGTGTCCGCAGTCTCTGGTCATCCCTGTACTGTGTCCGCAGTCTCTGGTCATCCCTGTACTGTGTCCGCAGTCTCTGGTCATCCCTGTACTGTGTCCGCAGTCTCTGGTCATCCCTGTACTGTCCGCAGTTCTGGTCATACCTGTACTGTGTCCGCAGTCTCTGGTCATCCCTGTACTGTGTCCGCAGTCTCTGGTCATCCCTGTACTGTGTCCGCAGTCTCTGGTCATCCCTGTACTGTGTCCGCAGTCTCTGGTCATCCCTGTACTGTGTCCGCAGTCTCTGGTCATCTCCTGTACTGTGTCCGCAGTCTCTGGTCATCCCTGTACTGTGTCCGCAGTCTCTGGTCATCCCTGTACTGTGTCCCCAGTCTCTGGTCATCCCTGTACTGTGTCCGCAGTCTCTGGTCATCCCTGTACTGTGTCCGCAGTCTCTGGTCATCCCTGTACTGTGTCCGCAGTCTCTGATCATCCCTGTACTGTGTCCGCAGTCTCTGGTCATCCCTGTACTGTGTCCGCAGTCTCTGGTCATCCCTGTACTGTGTCCGCAGTCTCTGGTCATCCTGTACTGTGTCCGCAGTCTCTGGTCATCCCTGTACTGTCCGCAGTTCTGGTCATACCTGTACTGTGTCCGCAGTCTCTGGTCATCCCTGTACTGTGTCCGCAGTCTCTGGTCATCCCTGTACTGTGTCCGCAGTCTCTGGTCATCCCTGTACTGTGTCCGCAGTCTCTGGTCATCCCTGTACTGTGTCCGCAGTCTCTGGTCATCTCTGTACTGTTAATTAGTTTGCACTACTGTACGAGTTGTTTTTTCTAAACCAAAAGCTCGATATTCAGGTTTCATTGCAGTGTTGGCACTTTGAAAGAAATAAGTTGGTTTTGGGTTGCAGTTTGGGCACTCGGGCTCAAAAAGGTTCGCCATCACTGGTCTAGGTGATCGGAAGTGGAAACTGTCCCCCCCCCCCTTCCTTCCCCGCAGTCTTCTGGGACGTTTGACAGGTCCGTGACAGGTCACCATCCTCTCTCACCGGCATCTTAAGTGTGGGCACTCAGCTGTTACAGCTTGCAGCTTCTCACCCGGGTGCCCACTGCCCATATGCTGCACCTTGTGAATGGTCCTGTAGTCTTCTGGGACCTGTCACGTGTCCCAGAAAACTACAGGACCATTCACAAGGTGCAGCATATGTGCAGTGGGCACGCGGCTGAGAAGCTGCAAGCTATCATAGCCGTGTGCCCACACTTAAGATGCCGGTGAGAGAGGACGGCCAGTGAACCTAGCAGGTGTGAACACACCACTGGATCATAAGACAGGTGAGTGGCTGTTTTTAAAATTCAGCTGCTGCAGTTTTTGTAGTTGATGACTTTTATTTTTTTCAGATTTGTCTGGAGCTCCACTTTAATTAGTATTTTGTCATAGGCTATACAAAAGATCTTCAGTTTTTAACAATTACAACACATACTTCTGGCTGCTCCCCCCTGCCGAGTACCCACTTAGCAAGTCGTTTGCTCTGGGGGCACTCATGCAGGCTCACTCCGTTGGCCTCTGTCCGTCCATAGATACATAGAGTGCAGATTGGCTCTGCCCCTAGCTCAGTGACTTTGATTGACAACAGCGGGAACCAGTGGCTCCCGCTGTTGTCTCTGTGCCAATGACGAGGGAGAGAGCAGAGTGAGTTTCTGCTTTTGTGCACAGCGTTGGATCGAAATCAGGCTCAGGTAATTAAACGGGGGAAGAGCTGCTTTCAGAAGGTTTTTTACGTTAATGCAGAGAATTAAGGCCCACAGTGCGGGGCCACAGAATGACACAGAATTCCACTATTTATGGAATCCTCAGTCAAGATGGCTGCCCAGATCTCTTGAGATTTCAGTATACAGTAGGATTGCTATCCTTTCTAAGATGGCTACCTGGAGCCCATAGCAGAAGACAATTTGTCTTCAATGGGCTCCTGCCACCCTGAAGAAATGGCACAGTGCCACCTTTAGGTTGGAGGATATACTGCAGTCTCCACCTGCCTACATACTCCCTGCTTGTACTAGACGCAGTTAAAAACAATGTTTGGTTTGACTTCCTGGCTGTTCTTTTCAAATCCAATTATTGCTATTCAGACAGTAATCACTATACAAAGGATGTTTGCAGAATCAAGTTGAGTTTTTGCACCTTCACACTCAGTATGACCACTTCTTTGGTAGGAGGAAACAAGCTGGCTGCAGGTCTTATCGTGTAGCAGGATTAAAAAGCAAAATATAGAAATTAATAACTTCTGCCTTGCAGTTAGACAAAGGAATTAAAATATAATTTCAAGCATTTTATACATCACAGAACAATAATACTAAAGTTAATGTTAGATTGTTTAAAGGGTCAGGAAGGACATTTCAAAGGCTGCTTCACACAATGAAAAGGTCTCACTTATCCCTCAAGTCTCCCTGTTGGCATTTCTTCATAAATTGTTATTCTTTTGGAATAATATATATGCATTACAGCTCATTCAAGAGTACAGTTCATGCTTATATGAACTGTTTTCTGCTCCAGTACATGCCAGCATAACACAAACAAGGTTTAATTGGTTGTACCCATAGAGATCACTGATGCCTGCTGCCTTTCTGGTACGTTGTGCATTACAAAACACTCCTGTCACTGGACCAAATAATAATATACTGATGTGCTATAAATGGTAGAGCTCAGGAGAGGGGTATGAATACAGAATGCTCCCAAGAAGAATCCTATACATCTGACCCCTGTATCCTTTGATTCCAGATTACAGGTGCTGGTTTTACAAATGTACCCGAGGCAGAGTTGTGTATGTGCTGCTTTCTATAATGTTTGCATTACATTATACTGAGACCTTTATTATATTGTACTTAACAGGCATACAGTTTCCTTGGTAAGATCACTCTGAACATTTGTTTGAAGTGAATATTTAAATATATGTCCATCTGGGCAAATTTGTTTTTAATTTATTTTATATAAAGATGGGGAAAAACTAGAACCAATGATGGGGTTTTACTGTTGTCTGGGGCCTCATTAGAAAGATCTCTCCTCACTTCCTGTCCTGACGATGATTTCACCACACAGGAAGTAATGGTAAATCTCCAGCAGCAACACACACAGAAATAGAAACACTTTTTTTTTTTACTATAATAGGGTGAAAGTTAGAACCTCTGACAGAAGGTTATTGCTATGTGTGACCCTTTTGAAGATTTTTCCTGACTACCTCTCTGTCAGGGCAGGGCTGTGGAACGGACAGGTAGGCCTAGTGGCAGGGTAACGCACTGACTGACGACAACCACCACCAACAGACCGAAGTCCCTCAGGTCGCGGAGTCTAAGTCCCAGGCTGCCCTTCACCAGGGCCCCTGATGGTGGGGATGGACTTAACGCAGCCAGGAACCAGGTCGCGGCCCCCGAGACACCCCAGCTGCGGTAATGGCCGCCGCCAATGGCGTGTAACTGGCAAGAATGACAATAGCGTAGTCGGGCAGGCCGGGTCGACAACAACGGGACAAAACAGTACAGAACAGTAGACAGAGAATCACAGGTCACGGACCGGGTTCAGCAACGGAAGGTCAGATCGAAGGAAAACACAGAATGGTCTAGTCACAAGCCGAGTCAGATACCAGAAGAGTCGCGAGAGTATACACAGAGCTGTAGCAAGACAAAGACACAAGACACAAGTGCAAAGGGCATGTGCGGATCACAGGCTTATATGTAATCAGCCACACCCCTCTGGGGGATGGACCTCAGAGACCTGAAGGCATAAAAGCTTCCCACCATGCACAGCAGAAATCTAATATGGATGCCAGCACATGGAGAAACATAACCTCTGGGAAAAGGTAGGACCTTGACACTCTCTGATAAAAGCATTGGTATATTGACAATAAGTAAGAGTAAATTTCTCTAATGAAGCCCCAGAAAGAAGTAAAAACCCAAAAGGGGCTTTAAACGTTTCCCACTCTACCCAAAAAATGTGTTGGCTGGGCATACATTTATTGCAGAAGTAAATGGTTTCCAAAAACAGTTACATTCAAGACATGCAGTGAATGATAACTGTCACAGTTGCTTGTGCTCTCAACTGAACTATCAAGCCATCAAATGGCAGGTGTCATAACTGATTTCATGTGCAATGTCATGGTAACAGCTGATCAAACAGAGGCTAAAATGGCAGCTTCCTTGCCTGTGAAGGATAGGAGGGTTTAGTTTTGCTTTAAGATGGTTCATTTATACTTATAATGGTTGATGAAATATAATGTAGACATTATTAGTACTTAAAATTCACAAACTGGTTGCTTGCATAGAAAAAGCACTGCAGAGAACATCCCGGCCAGCACTTGATTATGAACATATACCATTATCAGTTCACAATCAGTGATAGGCTGAGCTCATTCAGTGGATGAATGCCAGCTCACTAAGATTTAATCATGATAAAACAGCTTTATTCTTAGAGGAAAGATCTGCTTGAAGACAAGAATAAGTCTTCAACATGAGGGAAGCAAATTATCAATTCCAGTTACTGGGGCCTGTTGTGATCCACTGCCTGTTACTTCAAATAGAACCTGATAAGGATTTTCACAAACCACATGAACTGTATAAGGAGAGATGTCCTCTGGAATTTATGGGCTCATATTCTAGAGATACCAGTCTCCCGTTTAATACTTGCTGGAATGAATTGCACGCTTCAATTTTGTTGTTGTAGTCCAAAATATGTTATGCATTAATTTGATTTGTGCCATCAACTCCAATGCTTTGCTTTAACACTGGATAAAAATGTGTCCTGTGATATTGATTAGATTAGTATGAAGTCAGTTTCTATTACTACTAATTTCCCAAACATCCGATCCAGGATGTAATGGGCTATATGAATAAGAGCTTGTGTACACAGGCCTCTGAATACAAAGGATGTAAAATACATCTACAAGAACACACGGGTTCTGGTGCATTCAGGATTACTTAAAGCACAACGTAACAGCCAGGGGCGGACTGACCATTCGAGCACTCGGGCATTGCCTGAGGGCCCAGGGTCAGTAGAGGGCCCCATGAAATGCCCCTGGTTCCTTTTATAGGCTTTTTTGGATGTATTGTGAGTATGGGCAAGGACACAGGGGCCCCATGATCCCCTATTGCCGGGGGCCCCATGAGTTATCAGTCCGCCCCTGGTAACAGCTCTAAGCACCACAAACCAAAAATGCTGTTTAATTCATTTTTAACATTCAAAAACAAACTCACCTATCCATCCATGTCTTCATGCTTTATTTTGCTGAGAAATCACATTGAAAAACACCCCCTAGCTTTTCTGGCCATGGCCATCTTGAGTAAGGGCAGAAGATGCATGAAGCATTTACTTCCTGGAATTCATCTGCCCTTAGCTCAGGAATGCAGGCAAGAGGGTGTGCTTAGCTAAGAAAAATGCCTCCTCCCCTCCTGAAGACTCTTGGGATGTATGACATCATTTGCCTAGAAACCAAGAAGTAACTGAAATAATATAGAAAAAAAAAGGCTAAAACAAGTAAATATGATGCACTTCTAATTACCAATGCTAGCAGCATAAGGATTAAAAAT